CACAGAGCACACGCAGTGAAGAACATGGAACACAGAGCACACGCAGTGAAGAACACGGAACACAGAGCACACGCAGTGAAGAACATGGAACACAGAGCACACGCAGTGAAGAACACGGAACACAGAGCATAGAGCACACGCAGTGAAGAACATGGAACACAGAGCACACGCAGTGAAGAACACGGAACACAGCACACAGCAGTGGAGGAGAACACCATCTCTGTTCACACCACTGGGTTCACAGACGGACTGGAAGGCAGGATGACTGCAGGCCCATGAATACAGGCTCCCAGAGATGCTCGCTGGAGGAAAGCCAGCGGAGCTTCATGAGCAGTGATGCACAGAACCAGAGGCTGAGGCAGGCGTGTCCACAGCTCAGATGGCAATCCTTCCTCCCCTAAGCCCACCCTGCTCAGCTCTGCTCCTCCTACCACAGGAGGCCGTACCTCCATTTGTCCAAGGGTTCTCCCCAGAAAAAAGCTACTCCCAGCCACCTGCTCTTGGAGCACTCACCAACATCAACCTGGCAAAGATCAAGTATTTTTGGTTTTTATTGACTTGCTCTGCAGCCCTGCTCAGTCTCCATGGCCAGGATCAGAGGTGTGAGCCACACCTCTCAGGCACTTGGCATTCAGATTTCCAACAGTCCACTTCAAGAAAACGGTTCCTGCCAGGTGCTGGTGGTGCATTCCTTTAACCCCAGCACTAGGGAGGCAGAGGTGGCGGATCTCTGTGAGTTCAAGGCCAGTCTGGTCTACAAAGCAGTTCCAGATAGAACATCCCATTGTCTCAGTGTGTGGGTGCACCCCTTGCGGTCCTGAGTTCCTTGCTCGTGCTCCTGATTGGGACCTTGAGATTTCAGTCCGGTGCTCCAATGTGGGTCTCTGTCTCTGTCTCCTTTCATTGCCTGATGAAGGTTAATATTCAGGAGGATGCCTATATGTTTTTCTTTGGGTTCACCTTCTTATTTAGCTTCTCTAGGATCGCGAATCATGGGCTCAATGTCCTTTATTTATGGCTAGAAACCAAATATGAGTGAGTACATCCCATGTTCCTCTTTTTGGGTCTGGCTTACCTCACTCAGGATAGTGTTTTCTATTTCCACCATTTGTATGCAAACTATCGGGAACTCACCAAGGCCAGCTGGCCCAGGTCTGAAAAAGCATGGGATAAAACCGGACTTGCTGAACATAGTGGACAATGAGGACTACTGAGAACTCAAGAACAATGGCAATGGGTTTTTGATCCTATTGCACGTACTGGCTTTGTGGGAGCCTAGGCAGTTTGGATGCTCACCTTACTAGACCTGGATTGAGGTGGGTGGTCCTCGGACTTCCCACAGGTCAGGGAACCCTGATTGCTCTTTGGGCTGATGAGGAGGGGGTCTTGATCAGGGGAGGGAGACTTGTTCGGGGGGAGGGAGAGGAAAATGGGAGGCAGTGGCGGGGAGGAGGCAGAAATCTTTAATAAATAAATTTAAAAAAGAAAAAAAAAACAGTTCAGGACAGGCTCCAGAGGAACAGAGATAAAACCCTGTTTTGAAAAAGCAAATCAAACAAACAAACAAACAAACAAAAAAGGTTCCCGATCTGCCTCCCCAGTCACAGCAAACACAGAATAAGCAGTAGGTCTCCGAGAAGGAGGAGTGCACTCTCCTTCAGGAAGCACATCTGCCTATGCAGTCCTCTAACTCATCTGATGGGTGTGTGCCTTCCTTCCCTCTAGTTGGCCTTTATTTAGTGCAGAGGCAACAACAGAAGTACCTGCAGCTGGTGCCTGGCTCAGCGTGCGGGGAACGCCGTTCTTAGGCTGGAACACACCCTCTTGTTGGACTGGTACTTGCGTCTTTGCTTAAACACTACAGGAATGAGAGTTCACAAAGTCCAATTTCAATGAAGATGCTTAGGACACAACAGTAGGGGACGACCATGCAGTATATCTACTTCCAACCCCAAACACCCAAGACCAGCAATTAATTACTGTGCTCAAGATTTTACCTAAGGTAGAAAGAAAAAGCCAAGATGTTTCCTAGTTTAAAAAAAGTTTAGGGGCTGGAGTGTTAGCTCAGCAGTTAAAAGCCTTGACTGCTCTTCAGAGGACTTGGGTTCAATCCCCAGCACCCATATGGCAGCTCACAACTGTCTGTGACTCTTGTTCCAGGGGATCCGACATCCACACACAGATACACACGCAGGCCAAACATCAAAGCACATAAAATAGTCAAATTAAAAAAAAAATTAAGTTTCTAAGGAAAGATGGTCTATAATCTATTTCTATTACACTAAAAACAGAATGTTAACTGAAAACATAAACGGATTTTTCTTTCCCTTAATCTACAGAACTGTCAGGAGCTGAGCCACTGCCTCCGCATTTAATAGTCATCAATTTTGTAAATTCTATATAATAATCTCGGGTGCCCAAACATTTCCCAAGGTGCCTTGCACACTTCAGCCTTCATGCGGAAAAGCGCTACGAGCACAGCAGGAATCCCGAGGACCAACGACTCCATTTTCCAGAACACACAAACCGAGTGCCCTTCAGTCTCACATGCTACCATTGCCAGGGTCAATACTGGCTAAATTGAGAAATCAATACTTCAAGAACTCTCTCATGGGCTGAAGCCACAGCTCAGCAGCTAAGAACACTGGCTGCTCTTCCAGAGGACGCAGGCACCAGTCCCAGCACCCACAAGGCAGTTTGCCACTATCGGCAACTCCAGTTCCAGGGCACCTGGTGCCCTCCTCTGGACTCCATGGGCACTGCATAAACATGGTACACAGTCAGACAGGCAAACACCCAGACACATAAAATAAAATCAATAAATCTGGGAGGAAGAAAAGAATTCCAGCCTGACTGAAAGCAGTGATGGTGGATGCTAGAGTCCTACTGGCTCCTGCTGGGTTTTAGGGGGGTTGTCTGCCCCCGGGGCAGTGCTGCCTTTGACCCCCAAGTCCAGAGGCATTACTAAAACCAAATTCTACCTCACCACTTGCCTGGGTAGTATGTGGCTCTACACCTCAAACCGCCACCTTCACTCCACAGAAAAGAGCTCTGCTGCAACATCCACATCTTCATGTTTATTTCCACAGTGGTAACATGGAATATGTTTAGCTACCATTACACATAGAGAGAGAGAAATCTCTCATTGATTTACAAGTTAAGTCCCATTAACAATGAATTTTAACTATTCAAAAATCTTCTGTTGACTTAACATCCAATGCTGAAGCAGATGTCAGACCCCACCTCATCGCCGAACCATGCCATAGCTTGGCTTGCAATGTACGTATGATGGGATGGATCGTCTGACACCAAGGTGAGGTTGACAATGACAGCCCACGAAGAACATGGCTTTCCTGACCCAACATTTGAAAGTATATTTTGTGGCTCTCGTTTTGATCCCCCCTAAAGGCAGACAGCACACCCACATTCCTGTGTAAATTCCTATGGGGTTTTCAGGGGCGGGAAGAGGTGAAAACATGAAGAAGCCCAGCTTCCTTTGGCACAGTGTGGCCGAGTTCTCTACCCATCTGCTCGTGTCTGTGGCACAGGTCCCTTACAAGATGCCTGCACTGCTGCCAGCAACAAGGGACATGACAGTGTGGGATCGCGGCATTTTTCAGAACAGCTGATCACAGTCAGGAACACACAAGGTGGAACCAGCCAGTGACGGCCTATGTACAAGACTTGTGCTTGAGGCTTTGGTGTGGGTCCTCGGCCAGCTTCTCCAGCACCAAAGCCCATTCTGATTAACTGCTGATGTACAATGCAAACCAAACTACGGAAACACTTTTTTTTTTTCCAGAAGAGGGCAATAAAGGCACAGAAACCTGCCAAAATAGATTTTTTTTTTCACATAAGAATAGTGTGGCTGATCAAAATAGTTTAACACTAGTAAAACCTGGATCAGTAGAGCAGACGATACAAATTAGTTTTAAAAAATGACATTCACTGAATTCCTGGTCTGTGCATTCAATGTGAATAATCATCAAAAACAGATGACAATTAAGGGTCTGAAAGGGACCCTGTCTGTGGCTTCTACTCAAGTGTGTAGGGGCAAAGGGCATGGCACACCTGGCCATGAACTGCTCGTCCTATGTAATGCATGACAGGGTCTGTCCTGGTGTGCAGGCTCAACACATGTCCACGGTGGCACATGCCTACATGACTTCCCCAGCAAACTCCACACATGGAGAGTAATGAACTATTACACACTAATAAATATTTCTGGTTTTGCTTTTAAGCTCAGCTTAAATTTTGTCAAGGAAACCATTTCACAAGAGGGAATATCACAGCCTACTCTCAGCAACTGTCCTTGTTTATTAGAGTCTGAAGATGCCCATATTACATCAAATATAAATATATATTATATTTACATTTCCTTCTTCACTTTCGACTCAGGAGAGTGTATCTATGGGAAGGGCTGTAGCGTACACTCCTGAAACCCTCAGTGCAGCTGGCCTCCTGCTCCAATGCTGTGAGACAGGGTCTTACAAGACACACACTGTTCTTTCTAAAATGAAAGGGACAAATAGGGACCCATGAAAGGAGATCTGGACGTTTCCTAAAAGATTCTGGGTTTTTTTTTTTTTTTTTTTTTAATATTTTAAAACACCTGGAAAAAACATGGTCCCTTTTGCAGTACTACTCTCTACTTGGGGACAAGAAATAAAATACGCAACTCAGGAAGGTTGAAAGGAGAGAGAACCAGCGTGTTAGCTTGTTAATCTGCTTGGGAAGAGCCAGTGGAAACGTCTGGAAGCTGTACATATTAGACAAAACAATCTTCACACTGTCTTAGAGATCTGTTTCCTGGCAACAGTCCGATGCCTTGGTGGACCTGGTCTTGGTCACTTCCTGTCATCGATGGTTTTAATAAACTCCACGGCGGCTGTGAACTGCATCCACCAGTAGGACTCCTCTCCAGACAGACAGCTGGCGTAGAAGCTGCTGATGTACTGCACAGTGGACAGCAGGCAGGGCGGGTTGGCCTAGACAGGTGGAAAATAAGAAAGAGCCCATTACTCCTGGGCTGCAGTCAGAGCCATCTCAGCACCTGTGACAGGATGCCACGCCACCATCTGGACAATGATCCTACACTGGAAATAAGCACCTTCAAGGGATTTGAACCTATCTATGACCCTGCTCAGGAGGCCACATGAACTATCAGACACTATCAAGAGACCCACCTTTATCAGCACGAACACCAGCACAGGGACAAAGTCATCTGCCCCAGGGACAGAGTCCTCGTTGGCCAGACTGAGGAGGTTCATGATGGTGGAGCACATCCTCAGGATGCACTGCACTTTGTCCCGCGGAGTCTTGTAAGCACTTATTGTCCTGATCTCTGACTGTGCTGATGGCCACGGGGCCTCACGAAGATAAACCTAAGCCAGATGGTAGACAACATACAGATCACAAATCCAACAGCAACCTGCACTGCAGCCACGGTGCCTGCCCCATCAAGCTGAGGACAAGGGACTGTTCTTCTCTCCCACCCAAGACATCCGGACAGAGATGGTACACCACAGAGCCTGGACATCAGGACAGAGACGGTATACACAGAGCCTGGACATGAGGACAGAGACGGTACACCACAGAGCCTGGACATTGGGACAGAGACGGTATACACAGAGCCTGGATATTGGGACAGAGATAATATACACAGAGCCTGGATATTGGGACAGAGACAGTATACACAGAGCCTGGACATTGGGACAGAGATGGTATACACAGAACCTGGAGCTCAGAACTGTCCCGTGTTTCTGACAAAACTAGGATGAGACTTTCCAGAAGCACAGACAAGTCAGCAGAAGGCAATGTAAACATCATTATGAATATTTGCTGCAGCGGTTCTAGGTAAAAAAAACTAACTTGAAGCCCAGGATGGTGGCAGAAACTTGTGAAGCCAGCACTTGGGGGATCAAGGCAGGAGGATCAGGAGTCTAAGGCCAGCCTCAGCAACACAGCAGGCTTGAAGCCAGATTGGAATACGTAAGAACCTGTTACTACTTGGGAGGCAGAAGCAAGTGGATCTCTGTGAGTTCAAGGACAGCCTGGTCAACATAGTGAGACCCTGTCTCGGAAAACAACCACAATAACAAGAACCTATCTCAAATAAATAATATAACAAATAAATAAATAAGCAAGACAACAAAAAACCCACACCAAAGATAATGTAAAACTTCATAGACTTTGTGTTTCATTATAAGGAATTTCTGTTTTTGTTTTGTTTTTCAAGACAGGGTTTCTCTGTGTAGCCCTGGCTGTCCTGGAACTTGCTCTGTAGACCAGGCTGGCTTTAAACTCATAGAGATCCTCCTGTCTCTGCCTCCTGAGTGCTGGGATTAAAAGTGTGAACCACCATGCCCGGCTTCACTGTAAGGAAGTTTTCACAACCAGAAGCCTCAAGCAGTTGACACCCTGCAGCCTCCTCAGGAGAAAGCGCAGGAGAGCTCATCTGAGCAGCTGTTCTGAGGCCATGCAGACCTGAGCATTTTTTCAGGAACAGTTCTTATCTGGCAGAAGGTGTGCAGGGACAGCACATGCCTGCCAAGGAAGAGAGCCACTGAAGGGAACCCTCCTGTGGGTTCTTCCTGCTCTTCACTAAGTCCCGGAAGGACCCTCAGAACAGTGACAGTCAAATGGAAGAGCACCGGGAAGTGGTGTTCTCTACTGTGGGGTGCTTAGGCCTTGCTCCAGTGGAGGCCCTCTGCCCACCATCCGCACTGCACACAAGCCCCTGTTACCTCTGGAATCTGCAGGGCTCTGTGGTTGGCAGTCACCACTTTTGACAGTCTCTGGATGTGTTCATGCAGAACCCTGAAAAGTACCCAGAATTCACACATAAATGCACATTTCTGGAAACAGAGCATGCAAACAGTTACACTTGTATTTATCAAAACAAAGTATCTTACTCACCTCTAGATACAGTTACATTATGGCTGAGGCTCTCTTAGTCCTAAGTATACTTTATTTAAAAAGGCTCCTCCTAGCTTGGCATGTGCTACAAGGTAAGTTAGAGGCTAGTCTGACTATGTAGAAAACTGTCCCCAAAAACAAGAACAAGGTCAGATTATATACGCCAAGAAAGGCAATGGAAACCTGTAATTGCAGCCATAGGTTAAGGGAGGGATTAGGAAGACACAGCCAGCTTGGACTACAGAGCAAGACTATGTCTACTTAAGATTCAAGTAGACAAGATTGGGTGCTTTCAGGGTGATGGCCAGAGAAAAATGGCTCAATAAAAACAAAACAAAACAAAAAAAAAAAAACAAAAAAAGATTCACTTAGAGCTGGGCATGGTGGTGCACACCTTTAATCACAGCACTTGGGAGGAAGAGGTAGGCAGATCTCAGTGAGTTTGAGGCCAGCTTGGTCTACAGAGCAAGTTTCAGGACAGCCAGGGCTACACAGAGAAACCCTGTCTTGAAAAGCCAAAAACAACAACAACAACAACAAAAACAAACAAACAAACAAACAAAAAACCACTTAGAAATGCTGAGGGGCTGGAGAGATGGCTCAGCAATAAAGCACTCCAGAGAACCGAAGTTCTGCTCTCAGTGCCCAGGTCAGGCAGCTCACATTGCCTCTAAGTCTAGCTGCCTTCAGGGCACGGCCCCTCACACACACATGTACATGCTTACACAGACATATACATATAAATATAAGCAAAAATTGTTAAAATGTTTTAAAAAGAGAAATAAAGAAATGCTGAGTGAGCTGAGAGGATGGTGGAGTGCGGAGGATGGTGGAGTACGGAGGATGGTGGAGTACGGAGGATGGTGGAGTACGGAGGATGGTGGAGTACGGAGGATGTGGGAGTATGGAGGATGGTGGAGTGCGGAGGATGGTGGAGTATGGAGGATGGTGGAGTACGGAGGATGGTGGAGTACGGAGGCTGTGGGAGTACGGAGGATGGTGGAGTGCGGAGGATGGTGGAGTGCGGAGGATGGTGGAGTACGGAGGATGTGGGAGTATGGAGGATGGTGGAGTATGGAGGATGCGGGAGTACGGAGGATGGTGGAGTATGGAGGATGCGGGAGTACGGAGGATGGTGGAGTACGGAGAAAGCCAGCATCCCAGGGTATGGGAGTATGGAGGAAGTCAGCATCCCAGGGTATGGGAGTATGGAGGAAGTCAGCATCCCAGGGTATGGGAGTATGGAGGAAGTCAGCATCCCAGGCAGAGGAAAAGGACTGAGCTTGAATACTGTTCAAAAAAAGGAAGTAAGAAAACAGAAGGAAGTAACAAGTAGGAGGGGTCATAGCAAAGACCACAGCTCACAGGTGGAGACAGGACTTCACTACCTGCCTGCCTTCATTTCGAAAACCATATTAAGGTTTTAAAAGTAAAAGATCTGCCTCTGCAGCAGGGGCTAAATCCAGCCTTCTGGCTTCTGATCCTTTCTGGATCTTACAGTCTGTAAAATCTGCAGGAACGGATGAGGCAATGGGTAAAAATAAACTCTCTGTGGTACACATAGCAACAACATCCCAACTCCGTATCCCATGCCTGATTCGCAAACAGGTGCTCAAAGAGGAAAGGGGCTCAGGGTGAGCAAGCACCCGAGGCCAAAAGCACATGGCTGGGGAGGCTGGAATAATCCTAACGCCCACTTCACAGAGAGGTATATTCTCAAACATGTCTGTAGGGTTGAGTGTGACTCAGTGGTAGAGCAAACATAAAACCCAATGTGTGAACATACGCACACATACAAAAACCTGCAAAAACCAAAAACTACTAATAGCCTTCCTTGAAACCCTACCACACGGACTTCTGAGGGTCCCTGGGAACCTAAGTCATTGCTGGAAAACATGGTGATGTCAGTATGCTTGGGGGCAGAAACCAGATTGTGAAGTAGCAGTCAGGAAAACAGAAGGAATGGCCCCACAGTTCAGTTGGGAGAGCATTAGACTGAGGGACTCTCTGCCTTCTGGTGCTCTTCATCTCAGCCCCTGGCAGACCATGCCTTTTTTTAAGGCAGGTCTCACTGTGGACTGTGTGCTCCTTGGCCTTCCCAAGGCTGATTGCAGGACTTCCCTTACCCAGCTCTGCTTTCTTTTCCACTTAGTGTAACACTGAGATCAAACCCAGGGCTTTTGTAACTTACCACAGAGCTACATCCCTTGCCCACAAGATAATTTTTAAAAACAGCTTTATTGCCGGGCGGTGGTGGCGCACGCCTTTAATCCCAGCACTCGGGAGGCAGAGACAGGTGGATCTCGGTGAGTTCGAGGCCAACCTGGTCTACAAGAGCTAGTTCCAGGACAGGAACCAAAAAAAGCTACGGAGAAACCCTGTCTCGAAAATAAAAATAAAATAAAAACAGCTTTATTGAGGTATAAGTCATATATCATACAATTGTGGATGCGTGTTGATATTCAAATATTAATATTAATTCTCAATAAATATATATTAAGCACACATTTATATATGTTCTTGATGCTGTGCTGGCCTTGAGATAAACCTCTTGCCTAAGCTGTCCAGTGCTGGGCTTACGGCATAAGAGTGTATTTCCCACTCTTATGATGGACAGCCCAGCAGGGAAGAGAGCATGTGGTAATGAACGGGGGAAGAGTGGGAGAAATGAAAAGGAAACTGAAGGCCTAGGTTCAGACTCCTGGCCTCCCCGTGCGTCCCTCTAGCCTCAGAGCTACAATGGTGGAGACAGGAAGATTCCAGGAGATTGGTGGCCAGCCAGGTTAGCTGAACTCTTGAGCCCTATGTTCAGCAGACACCTTGTCTTAGAAATAGACCAAGAGCAACTGAAAAAGACACAAGTTGACCTTTTCCCAGCCTCCCCACACAGAGAAGAGTGCTTGCGTAGCATGCACAAGGCCCTAATTACAGACTAGCAGTGAGGGGGGTGTGAATGAGGAACTGAAAATACGCAGGTCACAGCCATCTGTAACTCTAGTTCTAGAGGATCTGAAGCCCCCTTCTGGACTGTGAGGGCACCAGACACGCACATGGTGCACATGCAGACCAAACTACATGTAATGATGTGGGAGTGTCATATATCAATCTGTTGATTTCATTGGTTAAGCAATAAAGAAACTGCTTGCCCTGATAGGTTAAAACATAGGTGAGAGGAGTAAACAGGAGGAAGAGGAAGTGAGGTAAGACTCTGCTCTGCTCCCAGAGAGACCCGACAGCTCTGCTCTCTGGAGCAGAGACGCCATGCTCAGCTCTCCCAGGTAGACGCGATAGCTCTGCGCTCTGAGGCAGATGCATTAAGCTCAGACCCAGGATGGACGTAGGTTAGAATCTTCCCGGTAAGCGCACCTTGGGGTGCTTACACACATTATTAGAAATGGGTTAGAACAATATGTAAGAGCTAGCCAATAAGAAGCTGGAACTAGCCGGGCCAAGCAGTGTTTAAAAGAATACAATTTGTGTGTTGTTATTTCGGGCATGAGCTAGCTGGCGGCCAGGGTGCTTGGGACGCAGCCCCTCCGCTCTTATTTCAACAATGTAAAATAAAAATCTTTGAAAAAGAAAAGAAACCATGACTCAAACAAATAGCAAACAACAACCACAGACTATTAAAGGTGTGAACACGAGCAGTTTTTGCTGGGAAGGAAATGGTTTCCTAAGGAAGGATGCTGGGGCCAAGTGAAACAACTAGCAAGAATTTACCCCTCAGAGCAGACCCAGAACACCATCTGAGGCAGATACACAGCAGAGCCTTTCAGAAACCACACAAGGTCATACTACTCTCTTCCTACTATGCACAACCCTGCCAACACGGTGTTCTCGTGCACGCTGACTGCACAGCTGATGAGTGGAAATGGTAACTGATACATCTCCCTTTACAACTCCACACAGATGCACTCACTGGTCACGGAGAATGTCCCCGTCCTGGTTAGGGTAGAAAGCAAGCTTGAAGATCCGATTCATCACACTGCGCTCGATGGCCAGCTGGGCATCCTGCAGCTGCTCCTCACTGGCGTTCTGCCATATGACATCCTGAGCCATCGCACCATACAGAAACTGCAGAAAGTCCTCCACTTGAGCAGTTTTATCGTCAGCGGCAGTAAGTTTCTGAAAGTCTCCAAGGGAAACAGTCGTCTTTAAAACATGCCACGAAGTAACATATCTACTCTGTTCCCATCACCCTTATCTCCAGTGCTACATTGAAAAGTTAGAAATAAACACTGGCTTTATTTTTATCTTTTTTTTTAATTTACTTATTTCTGGGGAGAACGTGCAGCTGGCATAGCACACATGTGGAGGTCCGAAGCCACTTGTAGGAGTTGGTTTTTTCCACCATATGAGTCCCAGGAACCACACTCAGTTCATCAGGCTTGGTGACAAATGCCTTTATTCACCGAGCCATCTTCCCTGCCCTGGTCATAAGTTTTAAAGCACACACTGCTCTGGATAGATGAAGGATTCTAGAAACTCCCATTCTATCCAGCCGGGTGTGAATTCTCCCTCTGTCAGTATGGCCACTTCATTACAGCCATCAGCCGTACGTCTGCAGCATTCGGTCTATACACAGCAGAAAGACTCCACTGGGCATACGGGTGGCCTTAGGACACGGCTCTATGGAAAGGGAGAGTGATCTGTAGAAATCATCCTAATTAACTAATTATGCTAATACCCTAAAGTCAAAAGTGTGTGGATGAGATTTTAGAAATTATAGACAAAATACTAAAAGTAGAGAAAAGTAAGAAATATGCAAATATTTGTTTCTTACAAAATATAGTTTTTTATTTTAAATATACACCATTTTTTAAAAGTTGTGAGGCCGGGCGGTGGTGGCGCATGCCTTTATTCCCAGCACTCAGGAGGCAGAGGCAGGTGGATCTCTGTGAGTTCTAGGCCAGTCTGGCCTACAAGAGCTAGTTCCAGGACAGGCACCAAAGCTACAGAGAAACCTTGTCTCAAAAAACCAAAAAAGCTGTGTGGATACAATTTGGTCATGGTGACAGATGGCTATATTCTCATCATCTGGAAGGCTGGGTTAGGAGGGTTATACTGGGATACACTGTGACTCTTGTCTCAAAAAACACACAAAAAAACAAATGCTGGCCAGGGGGTAGTAGGGCGTGCTTTTAATGCCAGGACCCAGGATACAGAGGCAGGTAGATCTCTGCCAGTTCGAGGCCAGTCTGGTCTACTGAGCGAGTTCCAGGACAGCTAGGACTGTTTCACAAGAAACTGTCAGGGGAGGGAGGGAGCTGACATGTCCACACTTGCCTTAATTGGAGTTGGGGGAAAAGATCAGTATAGTTCATGGATAGCCATGACTACACAGTGAGTTTGAAGGTAGCCTGGGCTACATGTGATTTTGAATCAAAAATATTAAAAAAGTAAATCCAGGGCTTAGCAGTTTAAGCACACTGGATGCTCTCCCAGAGGTCCTGAGTTCAATTCCCAGCAACCATATGGTGGCTCACAACCATCTATAATGGGCTCTGATGTCCTATTCTGGCATGCAGGTATACATGAAGACAGAGCACGCATGTAAAAAATAAATATTTTCTTGGGTTTTTTTTTCCCCCCCAAGACAGGGTTTCTCTGAGTATCTTTGGTGCCTGTCCTGGAACTAGCTCTTGAATGCTGAGATTAAAGGCATGCACCACTACCACCTGGTTAAAAAAATAATTTTTTTTAAAGGTTAAAATTTGAAAAAAGAAAGCATAGATCCAAATTTAACATCTTCAATTCTCTTTTAAATGTATATGGGTGTTCTGCCTGCATGTATACCTGATGCCTGCAGAGGCCAGAAGAGGGTTTCATGTTCCCTAGAACTAGAGTTATACACAGTTGTACGCTGCCAGGAGGGTCCTGGCAAAGAACCCAAGTTGTCTGGAAGAGCAATCAGTGATCTTAACTACTACTGAGCCATCTTTCCCCCAACTCCCTGCCCGGTTCAATTCCTTTTTTATTTCTTTCTTTTCTTTTGGTTTTTCGAGACAGGGTTTCTCTGTGGCTTTGGGAACTGTCCTAGAACTAGCTCTTGTTAGACCAGGTTGGCCTCGAACTCACAGCCTCTGCCTGCCTCTGCCTCCTGAGTGCTGGGAATAAAGGCGTGCACCACTACCGCCTGGCTTCAATTCTTAATATACAGATACTCAATCTGAGAGAAAAATAATGCAACTTAGATATGTGATATCAACGCTAACTACTTTTATTTTATTTTTTTTGGTTTTACGAGACAGGGTTTCTCTGTGGCTTTGGAGCCTGTCCTGGAACTAGCTCTGTAGACCAGGCTGGTCTCGAACTCACAGAGAATGCTGGGATTAAATGCGTGTGCCACCATCGCCCAGCAACGCTGACTACTTTTAAATGCTTGTGTTTGAAGCACTGGAGACAGCCGAGTCACTGCTACCACTAAACTTAGGTTCTCACTATGCCTTCACTTTTAATCTTGAGACAGGTTAGCTTTGAATTCCTAATTCTCCTCCCTGGTCTTATATTTACTCAATATTGCCAGAAACCCTTGAATGTGGGATCTTCCGGCCTCAGGCCCCTGAGCAGCTTACAGATCTTAACACCATGCCCATAGTTTTCTTTTTTCTTTGAGACAACAATGTCTTACCTTGTAACCAAGGCTGACTTAAATTTATCGTCCTTTTCCAGCCCCCAAGTGCTAGGTTATAGGTATTGGGTTTCAAAGGTTAAGAGCCGGGCAGATAGCACGCAACTCAAATCCCAGGACTCGGGATACGCAGTAGAGACACAATGATCTCTGTGGTTTCAAGGCCAGCCAGGGATAAAGAGCAAGACTGTATTGTCCCATCTCCCAAAAAAAGAAAGCAATCAAACAAAAAGCCCAACAAAACACACACACACACACACACACACACACACACACACACACACACAGACCACAAACAAAAGTGAAGCTGCCATTTGATCTCTACATTATTGCAGATTTCTGCTTTGTGAGTGGCCTGCATTTTCGGCATCTGGATGTACTGAATTAACACATGTGATAATGTGCACCTAGGCAGGAAGCACATCCTGCAGGCAGGGTTGTCAAGATCTGTGGCCACCCACCCATTCTGAGCAGAGGTCTTCCAAACCTTTAGTTTTCACTCCAGGAGCTAAGCAGCAGACACAGGGGTGGCTTCCCTACCCATCCTGAGTTAGGTACCATGTCCACAGAGCAGACGGCAGTGTGAAGTGAACAGTGAGAGCTGGCCAACATCTGCAGGATAATGATCTGGTCCTCCCTCCAGCGTGCTGGAACAGCAGCAGCCCACCACTGAATGAGTCTCTTCAAGTGACAGCTCTGAATTTAGATGGTGACCCCATCTGGACTACGCTGATACTGACAGCAGTTTCAGGTTGCCCATCTGTGGTATAAAGTTCCTTCAACACAGCTCTGGGACCCTTTTAGGTTTCCCTCCATCTTTCTTTCTCTTTTCTTTCTTTTTTTTTTTTTGATAAATCTTTTATTATTTATTTTTTAAAGATTTATTTTTTTCTATGTTGACGATTGCTTTGTTTGCATGTATGTCTGTGTGTCCACATGTATCCTCTGAGGATAAAAGAGAGAAATGGAGTTATGGACATTTGTGAGCTACCATGTGGGTACTAGGAATCAAACCTCGGTCCCCTGAAAAAACATTGGGTTCTTACAAAGTGTTGAACTAACTCTCCAGCCTATTTAGGGTTTCAGCCAAAAATCTGGACTGTGTTCACCCAAAACTTCTCCCTGTCTTTTCAGAGAATCAATCCCAAAGTCATCCCAAAAACACAAAACCTTGGGCCTGGAAGATGGCTCAGTGGATAACGACAATTGCTACCAGCCAGAAGACCCAGGTCAGATCCTGTGATGGTGATTGTTGACCGTCAACCCGACCACAACTGCAGTCAACTAACACCCAAGTGAGAAGATTATTATTATTCTTAATTAAATCATTTGAAGTAGAAAAAGATCACTTCTAATCTGGATCTTTTGAGGTGTGACTGTACACCTTTATTCTGGGCCACACATTCTGCTGGCAGTCTATATAAAGAACATGAAGAAAAGGGAACATTTGCTCTCTGCCTGCTTGCCCTACTCTTGCTGGCAAGTGATTCCTTCACTGGAATTACAGCCTATTTCTTCAGAATTCTGGTGTATAATGAAGACTAGCTGAGACTAAATACCAGATTCTTGGACCTTCCATTTATGGGCAGCTATTGTTGGACTAGCTGAACCACAAACTGTAAGTCATTCTTATAAATCCCACACATAAATATATAGTTCTATCAGTTATGTTCCTCTAGAGAACCCTCCAGATCCCATGGAGCCACACAGTGGAAGGAGAGAACCAACTCCGTGAAGATATCTTATCCTTCCATCACATGCTGAGGCATGCCCCAGCCCCCAAAAATTTATAAATAAAAGTCATAAAAATAAATCTTAGCTATAGATGGTTCAGCAGTTAAAAGCAGCTTGCTACTCTTCCGGAGGATGGGAGTTTGGTTACCAGCATCCAGGTGCACGTTACAATTGCCTGTAACTTGAGTACCAGGAGATCGGATCCCTCTTCTGGCTTTTACACACACACACACACACACACACACACACACACAAATACTAAAAATCTCCTTTCTAATTATTATTATTATTTTTACTGTGTCACATGTCTGTGCATCGTGTATGTGCCTGGTCCCTTTATATGCTAGAAGAGAGCGGATCCCTGAACTAGCACTGTAGATGATTATAAGCTGCTGCTATGTGGGGATTGGGAATTGAACCCTGGTCCTCAGGAAGAGCAGCCAGTGCTCATAACTGCTGAGCCATCTCACCAGTCTTCAAAATCAGAAAGGAAGGAAGGAAGGAAGGGAGGAAGGGAGGGAGGAAGGAAGGAAGGAAGGGAGGAAGGAAATGGGTAGTTAAGTAAGTTAAGACTCTAAATCAGCAAAGCAAAACAATTCTTCCATCTCACATGATTGAGGAGATGTTTGTCTGAATGCATTTAGTAGTTACCTTGAATGAACTCCCTGATCTTCTTTTCTTTGCTCTCAAGCAGTAACCGTACACACACAGTGGTAAAATACCGATTGGCCACCTCTTTGTCCCGCAAAACTCTTTGCAAGAGCCTTTCCAAGTGAGCCTGTGTGGTCTGCAGTCCTTGTCGACAGCGGGTGAGATAAGCAATATATGGGGCTCTTTTCCTGAAGGGAAAAAGTACTACCGATCATCAGATGTATACAGCACGTACTTACATGCTTTCTTCAGCAACTAGGAGTGTTACTTTTTTAAAACAATTACTTTATAGACTGTGATTTTTATAAGTTGGCACAAGAGGCTGTAGACAAGCATCTTGGGAACTATCTGCACTGCCAGCTCAAGAAAGAAAACACTTTATACATGGTTCTGTGGTAGCTATCATTGGCACCTAACTTCCCATGTCTCCAAGGTCCTCTGCAAACTCATTTATTATGGAAACATAGTCTCCATCCTTGTAAGACACAAGTTAACAGAAAATTGGCTGCTGAACAAAATACAAATTATATACACCAGATCAGAAGGTACCACTACCACTTATTTGCTTAGTGTTAATGTAATGAGATCCCCTAAGACTAGGAGCTTCCATTCTGCCTATGTGCAGCACTCACATTCCCCCATACTGGCTAGGCCTTGGCAGCAAAATTCCTAAGACTATATCTGCTTCTCTGGCCCTCTAGATTCTTTCCTAATACATGTAAAATATATATTTATATGTCATAACCTAGTCATCCTGGCCTCACAGTGGCAGAAAACCTATTTACCTGCTTTTAAAAGATTATTACTATAAACACGTGTGAGTACAACTGTGCCAAGCATGCATGTAGAGCCCACAGACAGCTTTTGTGAAGTCAGTTCTCTCCTCCACCTTTGTGTGAGTTCTGGAGATCTCACTTAGGCTGTCAAGCTTCCATGGCATGCGCCTTTATCCTGTGGCCCCACCTGCCCTTTCTTTGCAGACAGGATCCCTTACTTACCTGGAGTCTGCAACCTTGTCTAGTCAGCAAGCTCCCAGGATTCATATGAATCCATTTCCCTTGAGAAGGAGTTGCGGGTACATCCCACAATGCCCGGCTTTTGCCTGGTGCTGGAGAACCAAACTCAGGTCCTCATGGTTGTACTTTACTGAGCTGCTTCCCCAACCCCTTTTTATTTTTACCTCCTTTTATGCAAAGTTGAAGTAAGTTACATTTCTTTATTAGCAAGAACTGTTGGTAATAACATTTCTAAATTGTGTTGTTTAAAAAGCTCTAAGTAAAGATAGTCATATAGCTTCATTTCTTCAATAAAGACCAACTAAAACAAGAAGCTTCCCTCAAAACAAAGAAACACCACAAACCAGCGCCAGCTTGCAGTCAGATCCATAAACTGGCCGGGTTGGAACAGTACCTGTAGTCTTCAGCAATGGATGCCAGCAGCTTCCTACAAGTCCTATTGTCAAAGCGGCACACACAACGCATTGTTTCTTGAAGTTGAGCCATTAAGTTCTTATCTTGTAAATTAATTGCTTCAGCTATTTGAACTTTTAAGAAGCATACAATTTCATTGTCTAAAAAGAAACAAAAACAAGAGTTCTGTTAGGGTATCCACACCCTGGGCTATCAATCCTGTTACACAGCAAACCATTAGAGCCAAACAGTACTGCCACTCTTGTTAAGAAAATAAATAATCAGAAATCAAAGTACCAGGAGCTGGGGAGAAGGCTCAGTGATTAAGAGCCCATGTTGCTCTTCCAGAGGACTGGAGCTCAGATCCCAGCACCCACCCTAGGCAGCTCACAACTGTCTGAACTCCAGCTCCACACACTGCGAACACACAGATACTTATATAAATTTTTAAAAAGGGGGATCAAAGTACCCTTAAATGACTTAAATGAATTTCTGTCAGTGGCAGCTAAAGGAGGCAGCTGTGCGTGTGGGAGAGAGAGTCGTGGGGTTGACTTGCCTTCTGGGTCTGTGTGGTCAGGCAGTCCGTTCCTTGTCGAGTGGGTTAGCACTGGAAAGGCCACCGAGTCCGCAGAGCAGAGAGCAAGCCTCAGCTTCTTTTTTACGTCTCTGAAGAGTCGGTATAGGGCACATTAATTTACTTACACAGAAATGATCACATCCTCTTTTGTGTGGCTGGAGCTGGGACCCAGGACTTCCAGCTAAGCATACCCTCAGTCAGAAATGGCACATTTTACTGATTTTTACACATACACAATTATGTTAGTTCAGAACTCAGATGATTCTTTAAGAAAAGATCAGTTTCAGCTGACTGATACCTCACTGAGAAGCACCTCTAGTTCCTAAATGAGAGGTTTGGAAGTGTGCTCTGCGCAAGTCCAGTCAGGTCACCACAATCAGTCAAGAATTCCTATGATCTAAGCACACTGAGGTCACAGAAAGTGCTGAGAGTAGACAGAGGGCATGTCACAACACAGACACCTACAGCCAACCTGCATGCTGTCTACCAGTCACACATGTCAGTCCTGCAAAGACAAGCCCATCCACTGCCAAAAACAAACAAAACAAAACAAACAAAAAAAAGCCACACTTGCTGTGTTCTACTGCTTGGAGGTTTGTGCTGAGATCAGATTCTCCAACTTCCCATCTACTGCATGTGGTGGCACACCTCTTCAGTAGAGGCTGCCTTCTAGCCTTCCACAGCAACACGGTATTTCTTTCCCTTACTACAACCTATGGCCCTTCCCAGTCCTATGGGGGTGTTTAAAGAAGGGAATTTGATGCCCTGGAAAAAAAAAAAAACAACAATTGTTTTTTCTTCCATGGGTCATCACATGCCTACTTCATGACTTGGGCCTTGCCTTAGCAGATTTGTCCCTACTAAACAACTAATTTAGAAATCAAACTCATCAAACATAATATTTACCATGGTCCTAGTTTGTTTTCTATTGTTGTGATAAACACCATGGCCAAAAGCAACTTGGGAAGAAAACAGTTTATTGGGCTCCTATGTGCAGTCAATCATTGAGGGGAGTCAGGGCAGGAACTCAAGCAGGAACAGAAGCAGGTCATGGAGGAAAGTTGCTTGCTGGCTTGCTCAGCCCCCCACCTTAATGTATTTTTTTTTTACCATTTTAAATTATGCGTATGTGTGTATATTTGTGCATCTGAGTGCGGCTTCCTATTGTGGCCAGAAGTGCCGAACCCCCTGGAGCTGAAATCGCACATGGCCATGAATCACCTGATGAGGGTCCTCTGGGAGAGCAGAGCAAGCTCAGCCACCGAGCCACCTCTCTAGCTCTCCGATTGCTTTCTAATACAGTCCAGAATCACCTGCTCCCGGGCAGAACTGCCAACAGTTGTAGAATATTGAGATGTGTTAGATTTGTTTATGCTGTGGAACATTTGTTTTAACGATGCAAAGATGTGTTGCATTTTTTTATGCTCCATTTGTTTAACTCTGTGATTCTTTGCCTGTCTAAAACACCTGATTTGTCTAATAAAGAGCTGAACGACCAATAGCAAGGCAGGGCTGGTAGGCAGAGAGAAAAATAGGAGAAATCTGGTCAAGAAGGAGGAGGAGCAAGAACATGAAAAGGAGGACTGCAGGGCCAGTCACCCAGCCATACAGATAGCCACGGAGTGAGAGTGAAAGTAATATTTAAAGTAGAGAAAGGTAAAAGCCCAGAGACAAAAAATAGATGGCATAATTTAAGAATAAGCTGTCTAGAAGTAAGTCAAACAAAGGCCAGGCATTGATAAGGAATAATAAGACTCCGTGTGTGGTGTGTGATATATTTAGAAGCTGGCTGATGCCCCTCCAAAGTCAAAATAGTAAAACAACCAACAACATCCCACTTCAACCATCAATCATGAAAATGCCTCAAAGACACACCCACTGCCCAAGCCAATGGAGGCAATTCCTCATTTGGGGTTCTGTCTTCCCAGGTGATTCTAGTTTGTAACAAGTTGACAAAAATTAACCATTATATCCATTTTGCCAAGAATATCATAAAATATATTAAAGTCACCTGATTTACAGTTTTTTTTAAAAAAAGATTTATTTACTTATTTATTTGTTGCTTGTACAGTGTTCTGCCTGCACACCAGAAGAGGGCACCAGATCTCATTACAGATGGTTGTGAGCCACCATGTGGTTGCTGGGAATTGAACTCAGGAGCAGTCAGTGCTCTTAACCTCAGAGCCATATGTCCAGCCCTAAAATAATGTTTATAGTTTAAAAATAAATTATTAAAATAAAAAAAATGAGCTAGGCAAGGGTGCTGTACTCCTCCTTGTCCAAGAAAGCTGCATCTCCTTACCAAGCAAGTGCAAATGCCATGTTCCCAAACCTACTTTCTCAAGCCCTGTGGGAGGAGTCTGCAGGGAACAGAGAGGAGGCCAGGACTGAGCTCCAGGGCTCAGTGGGATGATCCTACAACTATTCCTGATTATCTGGATCCCCCACCATGCCCCACACAGGCTGCTGTTTTCTGCAAATGGTGGTACTGCAACTTGTTTAAGCTACTTGTTGTGGAAGGTTACTTTATTTTTTTTTTTTAATATATTTATTTATTATGTATACAATACTCTGTCTGTGTGTCTGACTGCAGGCCAGAAGAGGGCACCAGACCTCATTACAGATGGTTGTGAGCCACCATGTGGTTGCTGGGAATTGAACTCAGGACCTTTGGAAGAGAAGGCAATGCTCTTTACCTGAGCCATCTCTCCAGCCCCATGGAAGGTTACTTTAACTACACAAAGATGAGTTACATTTGTTTGTGCTGCATCTATACCTTAACAATGTATAGATGTTTTGCTTTGCCTGCCTAAGGTACCTGATTCGTCTAATAAAAGGCTAAATGGCCATTAGCTAGGCAGTGGGGGGATAGGCAGGGCTAGTGGACAGAGAGAATAAGTAGGAAGAGGAATGCAGGCTGAGAGAGAATGAGGAAAAAGAGAGGAAGACACCCAATACCAGCCAGCCAGGCAGCTGCCAGCCAACCAAACATGGAGCTGACACAGAGTAGAACATACAGAACAAAAGAAAGCTAAAAAGCCCCAAGGCAAAATGTGAATGAAGAAAAACAGGTTAAAATAAGTTATAAGGGCTAGTGAAACAATCATAAGATAAGGCTGAACATTGATAACTAATAAAGTCTCCGTGTCTTTATTTAGGAGCTGGCTGGTGCCTGGAAAGAAAGCCTGCTACACAGGAGTACTTTTTTAATCCCTGAATTAATGTTTTTGATATCTGATATCTACAATTGAAGTATTTTCTTTAAAAAAAAAAAAGTATTTCACTGTATAGTACTAGCTGGTCTGAAACTCCCTCTGTAGACTCAAATTTACAGGGATCTGCCTGCCTACTTCCTGAATGCTGAGACTAAAGCCATGCATTACCACACCTAGCATGAAGTGAGTTTTCTTACTAAATAGCATTTCATTTTTCTCTTTAGCGCACGTGTGCGTGTATGCACATGTGTAAGTACATAGACGACACAGGACAACCTCAATGTCATTCCTGAAGAGATGTCATCAACCTTGTTTTCTGAGATAGGGTCTCTCACTGCCTTAGAGTTAGATTAGGACAACTGGCCAGTGAGCCCTGGGGCTCCAGTGCTAACATTACAAGTGAACACCATCATGCTCAGCTCTTCCAGGTAGGCAATGGGTGTTCACCTTAGGTCCGCATACTGTGTGTGCAACAAGCACTTCATCGTCCAGTCGCTCTTTATACTTAACAACTGGTTGACTCGAAATGATTAAAATGGGTTAAAAAGTCCAAACCCCAAGCTTCCAACTCTGGAACAAAATACCTGTAAGAGAAAGCAGCATCCTGGGGGTGGGCGGCTTGGCTGGCAGAGTCTGGGAGGTCGTCGGCAGAGATGTTCTGCAGTGCTTCATCCCGGGGAGAGTCCTGAGCACTTTCACCATCACCCATGACCTCTAAATAAAACCCGAACCCAAGAAAAGGAGAACCCATGTCAATGAGGAAATTTCTGGTACTAGCAGGTGTTCAGAGCAACTTAATCATGAGTTAGCTTATCTCAAAATAAGAGTTCTTAGAGAAAAAAAAAAAAAACAAATTTCAGATACATAACCAGGTTATCAACAACAACCAAGTATCAAGAGAGCAGATATGAAAGCAGAGAATGGCTGCTCTTCCTATCCCAGTCCAAAATAGTCAATACTTGAGATAACTTCATAAAGCTTATATTCCAAAATCGGAGTCACTAAGCCACAGAACTAAGAGCCTCAAAAGCATTTTAAACAATACTTTCACTTTAGAGACGTGGACTTCAGTCCTGGCAGAAGATCTCTTGGTTGGCCAAATGCTGGAACAGATAGACCCTCACTCTTGTCTCCTGATTTTCCTCAACACAGCCCTTCCACCACACCTAAGGCTTAGTCAGGGACTAGCTCACAAACACAGCAAGGCCAGATCTGTGTGTTATGTATTTACTAAGTCAAGTAATACAAGATCATACATACAAACATACAGTCAAGGGGCATGGGGTTCAGTCAGTAGATTGCTTGTTTAGCATGCAAGCCATAGATTACATCCCCAGCACAACATAAAATGAGCATGATGCATGCCAGTAATTACAGAACTTGAAGTGGAGGCAGGAAGATCAAGAGTTCAAGGTCAGGGCTGGAGAGATGGCCCAGAAGAAGAGAATACTGGCTGCAATTCCAGGGATCCAATACCCTTACCCTTTTCTGGCCTCCATGGGTACTGCACATGTGCTGCACAGACACATACATGCAGGCAAAAATACCCATACATATAAAAAAAAATTAATCTTAAAAAAAGAGATCAAGGTTATCCACTGTTACAGTTAGTTTGATGCAAGCCTTGTTACATGAGACTCCTTGAAAAAAGAAAGTCTTCCAAGTCAAAAGGAATAAACTGATCCTGAATATAATAAAGACACTGTATAGGAAACTATGACAAAATGTTAGTAGCTGGTAAGTCTAAATATAAGGTTTATTAACCTTCACTTACTGCTATTTAAAAAGCTTCCCCCCACTAAAAAAAAAAAAAGGTTAGAAATGATGGCAGATTGGCACACGCCTATAATTTTAGCACTTGGGGAGCAGGAGGATTCTGAGTTCAAGGTCAGCCTGACCTACAGAGTAAGAGACCCTGTCTTCCCACCCTACTACCCTGAAAAGGAAAAACAAAACTATGGAATTCCTCCTTGCCATCATTTCCTCTTCAGCCTTAGGTATCCGCCTCAGAGCAGCTCATGCTACTGCTTGCTGATGAATCTTCCAGAAAATGCTCTCAGCATATGCAGGCATAGACAGATTTAGCAAACTGCTTATGGTTTTATATGCTTTTGCTTTCCCTTTATCTTGAGGATTCCATATTTTTATGAGTATTCCTCCATGAAAAGAGAGAACCCTGTAGAAAAGAGGTACCAAGCAACAAAGGTGCCGTGGCTCATGTCAGTTACCACAGCTCCACTAAAGTTCGTAACTACATCAAATCACACTTCTCTAGACAGTAAAAAAGAATTCTCTCTCACTAAAACATGCACCAAGTTTCTCTGGGCTATCACCCCAGACTCATCAGATAACCCTAAACCATCTGAACATCTGGGGTGCCCAGGTTTGGTGGAAAAGTATAGAGAGGGACATGTTAATCTGACCTGACCTCTAGATGGCCTATTTTAAAGGCTATTGCAGTCAGGACTTTTGTTATCACCATAGTAAACTGATACTGTTAGATCTATGATAGTTATCACCTGCACTCTCGTCATTGGCCATTGCTCCTTCACTGGGGCTGGTCCGTTTAATGGCGTTCCGATATTTGTCCAGAATATCTTCAGCAACCTGAGTCTGTGCACTGAGCCTAGGGCTGGGCTCATCTGCAGGGGAAAAGAAAGAGAGCGCATTATTCCCCTGGGTTTATACCAACCCTGCAGTTAGTATGACACCAGTAGTATGATCCCAAAGGCAGATTAAGAGGTCAGACTAAAAAGGGCACATATCTCAGTGTTATGAGGCGCCATGCAGCTGCCTACTCAACCCCACTGCTAGGTCTGAGCGCCTTCCCAAAGCAGGACACAGGAAGCATCCCTCCACCTCAGCACTGCTCAAGTCACAGTAACGGTCAATTCATGTCAACAAAACTTCTACCAATGGTTCCTCTTTTAGGATCGGGGAACAAACAAAAGAATAGTCTTGCTATATAACCCAGGCGACCTTTAACTCATTGTGTAGCCCAAGATCAGGCTTTGAGTTTGTGGTTCTATATCTAAGCCTGCCAAGTGCTAAGACTTGAGACACACCACCACACCAATCCCAACAATAAATTTTTATATACACAATCAGATATCTCCGTGCTGAAGGAAAAAAATTAACTATTTAAAATTAGACTTAATCTTTTATTAATTTTGATAAAATTAAAACGGTTTTCTCCTTTCTCTCTTTGTATCACATCTGAACGTTTCTCTCATACCCCACCTGTTCGTAACAGGGCAGCTGTCAGGGTACAGCTCTTCATTCCATACAACAGTCACTGGCATTGCTAGAGAACCTAAGCGTCTGTTACCCTGACAACCAAATCAGATATCAAAACTGTTGAGCTAGCTTGCTGTCATGATACATGCTTGTAACTCCAGCACTTGGGAAGTAGAAGCAAGAGAATTGTGAATTCAAGGCCAGCCTAGGTTATAGTGAGACTCTGTCTCAAAAAAAATAAAAAATAAAAAAATAAAAAAGACAAGCTAGGGACATAGTTCAGTGGTTGAGTTTTGATTCCCAGCACCACACACACATTCTCAAACAGTACTCATTCATCAACTACTATGAATCTTCAATACAAAATAAAGTTCCATAGTGAAACTCCTAAGACTGAGCTAGGTCAATAGGTAACCAAGCTACATTCTAGTAGAATTCCATTTGGAAAAATTTCGAAAAATCTCATTAAAACCACTACGCATGGTTTGTATGTATGGCAACAGCAGCTAGTATTCATTACATGTGTACCACATAGCAGTGAACTGTGCCAAGCACCTGTGTGGGCACTTGCTCATCAGACATTTGCACAGAGAAGCATGGAAGCTGAGCAGCTCAAGGACATTTCACCTCCACAAACAAGTATCTGCTATTCACGTTTCTATACCATACCTCAAGTTATACAGGGATTCACAAAGCTGTGTTTTCTAGTTTTTATTTTTTGAGGGACAGGTCTCACTCTGTAGCCTACGCTGGCATTGAACTTGTGGCAATTCTCCTGCCCCAGCCTTCTTAGTGCTGGGATTATAGATGCAAGTATACCTGACTCCCAAAGTCATTTAAGATTGTCTGCTGTAAGTAGTGTGGTCATGACAAGAGACTCAGAAACTCTTGTGAACTTTTTCAAAATATAAGTGCATCCATTACAGAAACCTTTGAAGGAACAATATTTTTGGATATAGCTTTAAAAAGACTTATTATTTATTCATTTACTATTCGGAGTGTTTTGCCTCATGCATGTACTACGTGCACACCTGGTGCCTGAAGAGGGTTTCAGAGCCCTTGGAACTGGAGTTACAGCTGGCTGTAAGCCAACATACAAGTGACGGTAACTGAACCCAGGTTTTCTACAAGGGCAGCAAGTGCTCCAAAGTATTGAGCATCCCTCCAGCTCCACTGCTATCTTTTGAGAGCTCACAAGGACTGTAAAAGGGACACATATAAATTGGCTAAAATGAGTCAATTAAACTATAATGTTGCTTACTGCATTTTCCTTTGATAAGCTGCTATGTAGGACTGGGGTACAGTTAGTAGGAGACTGCCTGATGGCAGGTGTAAGCCTGGGTTCAGTCCCCAGCACTGTTACATAACATAATGACAACACCACAGGCACAAAGGTATTCCCAGAGAAAAATGGGAGGAAGCAGTTTAAGTGCTTCAATAGCAAAAGAATAGTTACACTACAGTGTAATAGAATCAAATCATTTTACAGCCAGTAAAAATGATTAAAAAACCAACTGTACCCAGCAGAAACTGGAAAGTGTACGAAACATAGTAAAGATAAATACGAAGTCATAGAGGTCTGATTCAGTCACAGAAAAGTCACCATGCACAAATACTGAGGAAGACTGAGACAGACCACAAAGTCAGCTCTTAGAGCGGCAGAATATAGCCAGGCTCACATGGAACACCTGTTTATAACACTGAAATCTCCATTAGCTAGGATTGGATAGAATTTCTCCAATAAGAATGCTAAGATTCTTTGATCAGACCCAAAGAAAACGAACCACTTTGTGAAAAGAAAAAAGCTTTATTCAGCTTCCAATCTCTTCGAGAAAAAAAAAAAAATTGCTCAAAGACCTAACAACTTACAACTTCTTCAAAGTCCTTAATCAACAATGTAATTCAGCTTTTATGCACTGCTTGTACTCCCCTCTGTCCTTTCTTTTAAAGGCACTGGCCAGGAACTCATTCTGTAGACCGAGCTGGCCTTCAACTCTGCCTCCTGAGTGCTGGGATTAAAAGGCGTGCACCAGTATACTCAATGACACTGGTGTCCTAACAGCAAGACCTGGGACACAGGAAAATACACAGATACACTGCCCCAAAACATCATCTTTCCAACTCTTTCTAATCACACTGAAATGCTCCAGCACACACAGGCCATGTGTGATTTGATTTAACACCCACAGTACCTAGTACAGTGTCTGGCAAGACTCAGATGATCAACCAGTATTTGCTGACTGAATAGGACAGATGGGCTGTGCTCACCAGGGAACTGTGGCCTATCCACCTGTTTCCTGCTGCTCAGACCCTTTATTATAGGAAAGTTTCTGTATCAAATAAAGCGAGATTATATAGACTGATACATGGGTACACTTAACATGAACAATCAGACATTAGAACAAGCATCAAAATGGGATGCTGCACGTATTGTGCTGGTTGGTCACTTGAGAGCATCTTTTTTTTTTTCTTTTTCTTTTCCCAAGACAGGGTTTCTCTGTGTAACCCTGGCTGTCCTGGAAACCACTTACTCTGTAGACCAGGCTGGCCTTAAACTCTCAGAGATCCGCCTGCCTCTGCCTCCCAAATGCTGGGATTAAAGGCGTGTGTCACCACCACCCAGCTGACCTATTCCACTTTTAAATTAAAAAGCTTTATTATGACTTAGAATGGGAAGACAGAGAAGTAAACTTCCCTCCAGATGCGCTACGGCACTGGCCATTTACACCAGCTCTCATGCTCGGCTTACAAGGCACCAAGGGAGCTGCAGAATGCAGGTGTGGGACAAGGAAGATCCCTAAAGGTTAGACAGCAGTAATAGTGGGTCAAGCTATAAAAATCAAAAAAGAAAAACTAGTGAGATCTTTACCTTTTAGTACAATGGTTGGCATTTGTGTTTGAACAAATACTTTAATCATGAAAAAAATAAAATGATATCATAGTATTTCACTGTGATCCTGAATAAACTAGAACAAACTACAGATGAAAATAAATTTAGTATCCTACAGCCAGTGTTAGAGAAAACTAGCCAGCCAATCGTCCAGAGATACGGCATGCACAGCACTAGAGGCAGAGCCACACGCTCCAACAGCCCGTGGCATTGTCCCCTGGCGGTGAGCTCTCAGGCAGGCCTTGTCAGAAACAGGTTATGGTAATGAGGATGGGGATGGTAGTGGTGGTCTGTAAGAAGAGCACACCAAGACCCACCGTGGCCCCTAGGGGGACCACAGAGCCATGAAGAACATACTCCCCACCGAACACACACAGACACACTCTTCTAAAAAGGCAACGCTTATGGCATCCAAGAAAAAAATGTTATGATATATGTGCTCTGGGAATGAAGGAGCCAGGAAGCCCATGGGTCTACAAACCTGTGAGTGTTGAGAATCTGTCAGGCCCCAGATCATCTTTGTCTTTTTCTTGTTTTTCTTTCTTTCTAAATGGTATAGGAGCTGGAAATTAAATAAAGTCAGTAGTGTGACATACAACATACTGCACTCCTCGGAAGTTAACTGGTGTGCCAACATTTCTAAGTGAAGGAGGCTGAAAGTTTAGAAATCCCAAACGTCAACTGATAATCATTAAGATAGCATCAATGGTTCTTAAAGGAGCTTTCAGAAGCTACTGTGGAGTCTTCTGCCATAGAAAGAATGGTTTAATGAGGGTCCACTGGGAGTAAATCAAAACCATTGCCTCTTAACCTCGCCAACAGAACACATTCAGAGTTCCTGCCTCACTCACTCCGCCCCATTAAGTGGACTTGAGCATGGGCAGAAGCAGGTCTCAGCCTGGGGAAAGGCCTATGGGACAGGTCCCCAACTTTTGAGTGACCTCTTCCTTCAGGAAGAGGGATTTTTGCTGACTCAATCAATGTCAAGCTATTCACTAAAAACAAATGTATACAAGTACCTTCCAAAATAGACACTAGCTACTTCTGTAGGGCACACACGTTTTCAATGCACATAGACATGTAAAACTTAGATCTGTTCCAGGAACATCAAAGTGGCTTGAATACATTAAATTAACAGCAACAATAGCATGCCAAGAATCCTCCATGTTTAACAACAGTGATTGGCATATTTCCATTTAGGACACCACTGCCACTTCCCACAAAGAACAGGACATTTTAAAGCTCTGCCAGAGCATTCTCTCAGTGAAAGCATTTCTACACTTCCACATAGCTAGAGACAGGCCCAGCAACGTCACAGAGGCGTAGTGAGACTTGAAGCTCTAAAGTTTTATGAAATTACCTTTAGGCATAGCTGACACGAAGCGTTTTCTCCACCAAGGCCTGCTCCTGTCTGATCTCTCATCATCACTATCCTTGCGCTCTTCAGCCTGCAGAGAGAGTCTGATGCTTTATTGTGAGTTGAGCAGCAGGACAAGTTGCTATGAAAAGCGTTTCAGTAAGGCTGTATGTATGCCAGTCCTATTTGCCTTAAAACAAAACTGTTCTTTTTGGGGTGTTAGCAGAGGAGAACTCAGGGCCCATGGCCTCTAAGCCACATTCCCAGCACAGAAAACTACTAATGCCTGCAGCGCCCTCTGCTGTGAGGAAGAACACCCTCCAGGTCAGGGTGGTGTGTGTGAGGGTAGGTACTATCCTTAACTGCTAGAAAACCAAGGAGCTAACAGAACATGGTATCACGGGTACCCAAAGATCACTTATAAAGGAAGTGTTAGAGCTTCCTTCTGGGTAGAGCTCAGTAGAAAGAACAAGTGCTCAGCAGGTACCAACTCTGGGGCAATCCTCAGCACAAAAGCAAGACAAAACAAAACAGGAAACCCTAAGTAAAAGCAGTGCAGTGAATACTAATGAGGGCAGGGACTGTGTGATGTAGCAATAGTAACCTGGTGTTTCAGAACCCAGCATGAGAACAGATCTCTCAGCCCTTCAGCTGCCTGAGAAAATAGCTCCTGTTATTAGGGGCTTTGTTGTTGTTGTTTTGAGACAGAGTCTCAGTCTGTAGCCCAGGCTGACCTCTTCCTTAGCAATACTCCTATCTCAGCCTCCTAATTACTGGAATTATAGGCATGAGCTACCATGCTCAGTTCTTAAGTCCTTCCCCCTGCCCCATTGCTGGGTCTCACTGTGTAACCCCTGGCTGTCCTAGAACTCAGAGATCTAAACTCTGTCTCCTGTGAGTTTAAACAGTGTTGGGATTAAAGGTGTGTGCCACCATGCCCTGTCCTAAAATCCTTTCTATAGATGAGAAACATGAAGCTAAATGAGGTGACCTTCCTCAAGGTACACAGCCTGCATGAGGCACAGCTGCCCATCAAACCTAGACCTGCTTTTGGTCACCAATTATACAGTCATCATCAACTCTGTTCACATTCAAGGACAGGGCCAGTAATCCATTACTAGCCTATGTGACCTCAAAAAAAATCTCTTAATTTCCATTTCTTTTATTTACAGAATTGTGACTGAAGTACATTCTTGGCTGTTAGAGCCTTTTCTTGCCCATCAGTCCGATCTCATTCTGAGTGCTTTCTACTTTGTAACCAACAGTCTCTTTCTACACAGAAGACTTCATGTGAATAGAGAGAATAAAATTACCTAAAAACACTTAACAACAGGTGATTCCTGCAATCAGAGAGACTGGGGCTCATGTGGCAGGAAAGTTAGAGGTGACGCTGGAATGTTTATGTACACGTTTACACACATGAGTTAGAGGTGACACTGGAATGTTTATGTACACGTTTACACACATGAGTTAGAGGTGACGCTGGAATGTTTATGTACACGTTTACACACATGAGTTAGAGGTGGTGCTGGGATGTTTATGTACACGTTTACACACATGAGTTAGAGGTGGTGCTGGGATGTTTGTGTACACATTTACATGCATGAGCTAGAGGTGGTGCTGGGATGTCTGTCTACACGTTTACACGAGGAATAACGAAAGCTGTTTCTCACTACTGAAGAGTGAAAGCAGGGGAGACGGAGGGAAACAGAATAAACTTTTCTCCAGACTGAAACCAAGTGCTCAGTGTGCACTCACTGCTTCCTCTGTGCTGAGAAAGACAGAGATGACGTGAACACGGAGATGACCGTGTACACAGAGGCTCACACACAAATATCACCTAGCTCTAGCTAGCCATTGAGAGCTCTGAGCAGCAACATGCCACAGAAATGAGTTTTGACTCATCTCAGTTTCTAAAAACTAGTTTTGACCAAAGGACCTAAGATCCTTAGAGATAAACTGAACTCCAGGAAGAGACAGAGAATGCAGCGTAGGAGCTCAGCAGTCGGGGTACTGCGTGCTCTTCTGGCGCACCAGCGTCCATCCCCAAACTCGCACGCTGGCTCACAATCATTTGTAACTCTGGTCCTAAGGGCCTTGATGCCCTAATTTGGCCTCTGCAGGTGCTTTATGTGTATGGTACACAGATAGACACCTGGGCAAACACTCCACACACATAAAATAAAAACGATATTAAAATAAAGGGTGAAAAATTGGCCGAGACGAACGTGAACAAGCAGCAGAGTGAAAGTGTACAAGGCCTGACAGTGACTGTGAAGTCCTGCTGCTCTAACCAGGGTAAGGGGAGTGGAGGCATAACAATTATCACAAGTTCAAGACCAGCCAGGTCTACATAATAAGTTTCTAGTCACCTTGGAATAGATAATGAGAACCTGTTTCAAAAACAACAACAAACCAATAAAACAAATGAAAAGAGACATGGGGAGACACGGCTGGGGTGACATTTCAGAGTGCTGACGAGTGGGATCACATGTAGGACAGCATCACAACAAATGTGTCACCTGTTAGAAATGTACAACGAACACAACAAAGAGGGAGAAAAGAACTGGGCTGAGAAAGAAGTATTTTGTCTTCCCAACTTCATGACTTTCAAATAAAATGGCATTCCTCATTTAATCATCTCAAGAGAGTACTAGGAGTCAGCCCTAGGTGTTCTGCTCGGAGAAAAGATCTAACAAGATCACAGAACCAAGCTGTGCTGTATCTATTCAATAGATGACTAGACTAACAGGGTTTTTTTTCTTTGTTTGAGACAGGTTTTTCTCTGTGTAGCCCTGGCTGTCCTGGAATTCACTCTGTAGACCAGGCTGGCCTCAAACTCATGGAGATCCACCTGCCTCTGCTTCCCAAGTGCCGAGATTAAAGTGTGCACCACTACCGCCCAGCATGACAGATCATCTTTAATCACAACCACAGTCATCCTCAATCTTCAATTCATAGTCCATGTTCATTTCAGACATCATAGGAACCTGTCACATAGAACACTGGCTGACCATAAAGCGAAAGCTCTACATGGCTAGTGTCCCATACCTCTCCTCTTGAAGAGTCCTTACTCGGAGAAGAAGATGACGAATGAGGTGCAGCCATCAAAGAAGTAGCACCCGTGGCTGCAGCTGGAGGGAGCTCATCGTTCCCAGAACGGCGGTTGCAACTGGGGTCACTCATGGGCCGCCGCACAGAAGACACTACGTCAGAGCTCCTGCTGCGAACCAGTCTCTCAGGGTAAGAATGCCTCTGCCTGAATGCCTCCATTTCAGCTGCGGTTAAAACGTGAGAACCAAAGGTGGGCAGCCTGGCCTCATTCCCTCCCACTGCACCTTCCAGGATTGGAGGATCCGGGGGTGGGTGCGAGGGTCGGGCATAGTGAACCTTCGGCCTTACCACAGCAGAGGCCCCTGTAACACAGCAAAGAAGTATTACAGACAGCATGGAACTACTCAACAAAGGCATCAACCAGAGGCTGGCAATACCTTGCTTCTGTTTATGACAATAGTCCAAAAGTTCTTGCCACAAGCTTACCTTCGTGTGAAGACAGTGGATCAAACATGGCAAGCAGAGACTCTGACTGCGAGGGAGGAGAGGTCAGCTGGTGGGCACCTACAACAAGACCAACCATGAGATGAAGCCAGATGCAGACAGCACATCCCACACTGAAGAAGGCACTGGTACTCTTCCACAATTTCTCTCTCTTGATTAATTAGAACCTCAGAATCTTATCAGAAATAAATGAAACATATAAATATCAAATTCTGATTACCCACAAGATAGTGGTGGTGCCTGACAGGGAGGGAGAGGCAGTCAGCCTCTGAATTCAAGGCCAGCCTGGTCTACAGAGTGAGTTCCAGGACAGCCAGGGCAACACAAAGAAACCCTGTCTCAAAAACAAAAAACAAAAAAAAAGAAAGAAAAACAAGGGGGGGCTGGAGAGATGGCTCAGAAGTTAAGAGCACTGGCTGTTTTTCCAAAGGTCCTGAGTTCAATTCCCAGCAACATATGGTGGCTCACAACCATCTGTAATGAAATCTGGTGCCCTCTTCTGGTGTGCAGACATCCATGCAGACAGAATGCTGTATACATAATAAATAAACAAATCTTTAAAAAAAAAAGAAAAAAGAAAAACAAGAAGCAAAAAAAATTCTGATCACCCTACATTTTAATCTGTATGTAAGGATTCTCACTACATTTAGAGGGTAGACAAATGTGGGTGTTGCTACAGCTAGTGTGAAGAGCACAATCATGAGATGGCAACCATATTTCCTAATGGCTCACGCCCTCAGAGACTAACTTCCCCCGACCTATATAATCAAGCAATACTATCCAAAAAAGAGGTGAATTGCCGGGCGGTGGTGGCGCACGCCTTTAATCCCAGCACTTGGGAGGCAGAGGCAGGGGATCTCTGTGAGTTCGAGACCAGCCTGGTCTACAAGAGCTAGTTCCAGGACAGGAACCAAAGCCACAGAGAAACCCTGTCTTGGAAAAAAAAAAAAAAAAAAAAGAACTGTGAATTTTGAAAGTATAAACATTGCTTTCAGCAGATGACTTGATTTTAAAAATTCTAACTTCTAAATGTACTATTTTAGGTTACAGAGCCCCCACTGCCAAAAAGAAACCCCTATGCACATCTTAACACAACTAGAAATGTTAAATATTAAAATAGATTAATATACAGATTATAAAACTTTCTTCATGCATAGATTTCCTTATTTTAGATTTAGAATATGAACATTTAAAGTACACATTGATTGTTATGCCTGAGAGTTACACTAATCGATGAAATATTAACAGTATATGGCTTTTGTTGTTAGTTTGTTGGGTTTTTTTAATATTATTTAGTTTTATCTTGTGCGTATTCCTGTGTGTGCATGCAGTATCCATGGAGGCCAGAAGAGGACATTGGACCTTCTTGGCCCTGGAGCTAGACACAGTTGTGAGCCACCATATGGGTACTAAGGGTCTAGCTCCTCTGTGAGTTTCCAAGTTGGCCTAAGTCAGAGAGTTCCTTTTGCCTCTAGTTCCTTGCATAGTTGTCTTGCATTTACCTCAAAAAGGCCCCACCTAGGTGTTGGGCAGAGAGTTCTGCTCTCTTAAGGTTATTGTCAACAGCTGTGGCTAATGGCCACTTCTTGGGCTCCAGGAATTAAGAAGTAGATGATCTGTTCCTACCTCAAACAAGAGCCTAAGGGTCTAACTAAGTTCCAGTTTCCTTTATGGAGATACTTGGGATTCCACCCAGGGAATGATTTGCCTACAGAGTGTTTTGGTCTAGGGCGCAAGTGTGACCTGGTGACTTGTTTTGTTCTAGTAACAGAATGTTTAACTATGGATGTAGCCTGAGACCTTCAACTGGTCAGTTCATTTCCTTGTATCATGTTAATGCAGTCTTTTGTCTTACTCCTACCTTTTGGAGTTAGGGATATTTTAAACAGTTGGAAATTAAACTCGGGTGAATTTTCAATACCCACTGAAAACTATCCTGATACTATCCTATATGTTTCTGTTTCTCCATTTTCATTCGGATCTTCATATTCTTCACTATATTTCTAAATTCCCACGCCTCTACTCTGGAGAAAGTATTTTTGTTAACACTGGCCCCCTAATACCTCTGGAAAGGCAGTCAGTGCTCTTAACTGCAGAGACATCTCCCCAGGCCCACTTTGGTGTTTTTGAGACAGATTCTCATTATGTAGAGCAGGCAAGTCTCAAACTCATAGAGATCCACCTGCCTCCACCTTCTGAGTGCTAGGATTATCACCATGGAAGGTTATGATATAATCATTTTAAAAAGCCGTTCTGTCTTCCACTACTTACCATGGGCTATGTCATCCATGTCTGGACTAGTTACAGAATCTTTACCCCCAAAATCAGAGCTGCACTCAGACCTCAGGTCTTCAATCTTATTGGGAATATCCTCTGATGTAGCACTTATACCTTTGAAAATATAGCAAAATTAAGTAAGTAAATAAACTACAAGAATAGAGTAGTTACATAAATTTATATGAAGTTTGGAGAAATTCTTTCTCAAACTTTATATATGCCAGTTCTATACATGTGTGTTGCTGAGTACTGTGAATTTATCATACTGCCATTCAAATACACTCATCTTACTTTATACATTATCAGAATTACTGTGTTATACCTAAATATTGTAGCAGAAGCTACCAACAATATCAAGAATTGTAGAAGATCATCAATAGTTTCCACAGGCTGTAAAAACCACACATTAAGTTCTCAAAGATCATGAAGGATGATGATGGAGATGACTAAACTCTCAAGTCAAACATCTCTCTTGGGAATGGAGATGCAGTGAAGGAGCATGACCTTCATGCCCAGCCTGGGATCCACAGCTAGTACCATACCATGAAACAACAATGATGAAACCCACTATCTCTTTGGTAACACTTTATAAATAGGAAATAGAGGATGCCTTCAAATTCCTAGTCCTTAAAACAAGACAGACATACCGGACACAACACTGAGGCCTGGTGTGCTGGGGCGGGAACTGACCTCCCTGACATCCGTATCATCAGACGTGCTGCCCAGTCCAGAACAGCTCTCAAGCTCTTGAAGCCGCTCCTCCTGCTTTAAGTCTGGAGCCTCTGAACAGAAGACAGGAAGAGTCACCTAGTAATTCAGTGAGCATGGAAAGTTCAGCTTTTGTGACTCGGACAAACAAGCTCTCAAGGTTAAGTCTAAGCTACTTAGCAGAGCTAGTTAGATCAGGGTTGCAAAAAGGCAAGGTTATGACTTTCTTCTGATATAAATCAGTTTGTTCTGTCCAGATGTTAACCTCTATAAAAAAAGAAAGAAAAACAAAACATATATAAGTTTTTAAAGACAGGGTTTCTCTGTGTAGCTTTTAGCTTTGAAGCCTGTAGACCAGGCTGGCCTCAACGCACAGAAATCTGCCTGCCTCTCTGCCTCCTGAGTGCTGGGATTAAAAGCACACACACACACCACCACACAGTAACCAAAATACATTCTGAGTTAACATGAAAACAGTATTAGAAGGTACAAAATAGCTTAGCGTTGCACTGATCTGTCTAAATTTTAATGCTTTCAAAAGGGCTGGAGAGATGGCTCAGCAGTTAAGGGCATGAGCTCCTCTTCCAGAGGTTCTGGAGTTCAATTCCCAGCACATACACGGTGGCTCACAACCATCTGCAATGGGATCAATGCCCTCTTCTGGTGTGCATGAAGACAAAGCATTTACGTATGTAAAATACCTAAGTAGATAAATCTAAGAAAAAAAAATTGAGCTCATCAGGAAGCCCAAAACCACATTTGAGCTGGAGAGATGGCTCAGAGATTAAGAGGACTAGCTCCCTCTTCCAGAGGTCCTGAGTTCAATTCCTAGCAACCACATGGTAGTTCACAACCATCTGTAATGAGATTTGGCGCCCTTTCCTGCTGTGCAGACAGAACACTGTATAGTAAGTAAGTAAATAAATAAATGGATGGATGGATGAATAAACAGTAAATAAATAAATATTTTTAAAGAGTACTTTAAGATGGGCATGATGGCAGACACCACTGATCTTAGCACTGACAACGGAGGCAAGTGGATTTCTGGAGTTTGAGGACAGCCTGACATACATAGCAAGTTCCAGGAAAAGTCCAAGATATATGGAGAGATCCTGTCTTAAACCACCCCCAAAAAGAAAGAAAAGAAAACAAACAAACAAACCCAAAAAACTTCTTTACTTATTATTTATCTACCGGCTTTTTGAAAAGGGGTCTTGCTGTATAGCACACGCTGAAATAGCAGGTATGTGCCACTAAATTAAGTGCCCTTGAAGAGACTGAAGAGATGGCTCAGAGCACTTGCTGCTGTTACAGAGGACCTGGGTTCAGTTCCCAGCCCCCACACGGCAGCTCAGAATTGGCTATAACTCCAGTCCCAGGAAGTTGGATGTCTTCTTCTGACTTCCACAGGCCTTTGTACACACACATGCCATACATGCACACAAACACTCAGACATAAAAACTAAACATAAATAAATTAGGGCTAGAGAGATGTTTCAATGAACAATGTCTTCTGCTCTTCAGAGGATGGAGTTCAATACCCAGCACCCACAACAGACCATTCATGAAAACCAGACTCCAGCTCCAGAGACCCAATAACCTGTGGGCACCTGCATTTACATGTGCGCATACCCACATATAGACACCTATATAAACATATAATTTTAAAAATTGTTTTTTATTTAAAAAAGATTAATAAACAAACTTTTAGACATCCCTTAAAAGGGACAAGTTATTCCCAAGGTTAAATTTTTTTGTTAATATTTATTTATTATGTATACAATATTCTGTCTATGTGTGTGTCTGCAGGCCAGAAGAGGGAACCCCATTACAGATGGTTGTGAGCCACCATATGGTCGCTGGGAATTGAACTCAGGACCTTTGGAAGAGCAGGCAATGCTCTTAACCACTGAGCCATCTTTCCAGCCCCCCAAGGTTAAATTTACATGCGTGCACGTGTGCTTGTGCTTCTCTTTTAGGAACTGGTTCTCTCCTTCTAGATACTGAACTCAGGTCACCAGCCTTGGACTCATTAAGCTATCTCAGTGGCCACCAGGGATAAATGTAAGGACGTTGACTAGAAACGCAAATGTGCAGTCTGAGCAGGGCTATTACTCTCATCCTGGTGAAAGATACTGAACACAACATACACATAAAACTCTGCTGAGTTTCAAACAATTGCTTCAAATATAATTTAATACAGACTCAGAAAGCATTTGCTATACTTTTTATTATTATTATTATTATTATTATTATTATTATTATTATTATTATTATTTTGTTGTGGTTTGGTTTGGTTTTTCGAGACAGGGTCTCTCTGTGTATTCCTGGTTGTCCATGAACTCTGTAGACCAGGCTGGCCTTGAACTCAGAGATCTGTCTGCCTTGGCCTTCAAAGGCTGGGGTTATAGGCATGCGCCACCACGTCTAGTAGCATTTACTATGTTAATCAATGCTAACTAACAATAAACTTTTCCTTGATGAAAAAAAAAATGTTCTACTTGAAATTTAACAACAATTGATTTTCTGGCATTTGTCTTATGTGTATGTGTGTATGAGTCATCAGGTATTGTGGTAAATGCCTAAAATTCTAGTACTTTTATAGACTGAGGCAGAGGATTTTGAATTCAAAGTCAGCCTGGACCAGACCCTGTCTCAAAAAACAAAACAAAACAAAACAAAACAAAAAAAGTATATCAGTTGGAAAAATATATCTAATATAGAAATTAGGACCCCTTACAGAATAAAATATGCAAGTAATGGCAGCATACTAACCTGAGTCACTTGGCAATACCTCTACACTCCAAGCTTCACTTGTGGTCTCTGATATGGTAGAGCCAGTGCAAGGGTCAAGGAGAACTGACCCTGAACCTGGGAGGCACAGCAAACTGCCTAACACATTCTCTGCTGCTGCACCTGCACAAACCAGTGGGAACAAAATGTTAGAAGGGTCTGAGAACACTGGTAAACAAAATCTTACCAACAAGAAAGTGGCCAAGGAAGGAATTTCATTTAAGTCTGATACTAAAAACACAAAGTTCCCAGTTGAACACACTGGCACAACCTCCTTTTCTTTACTTCATGTGCATATATGTGCCTGAATTATGTGTACCATACACATGGAAAAGCCAGAGCAGATCAGAAGAGACATCAAATACCTGGAACCAGAGTTACGTGGTGCTGAGAACTGACTTCAGGCCCTCTCCTCTGGAAAAGCAGTAAATGTATTGCCCTAACTGCTGAGCCATCCCTCCAAGACCACAATCTTCTTGTCCTCCTGCTTAACTTTGACTCTCCACAGGGAAAACATATCTTTAGAGTCATGGCAACTTACTTTCACTGTGGCTTTTCAGCAAATCTTATCTATGTCCTTGATATCTTTTTTACCTTTATAGTCCCACAGGGATGCCAGAGAATTTAACCACAGAAAGTTATATTAGCCAAATATGTTTTCTTCCAGCATATCAGCAATAAATTCAGAGCAGTACATTTGCAAGACTACACAGCTCTTTCACAGCACTCAGCCAACTGCAAATACTGCTTGTGGCCAAAAACAATACTACATTGGCATCTGGAATAAAATAATACAAAACCAATTGAGAAATCTCTATACAATACTAAAAAACACAACTGGAGAGAATGAAACATTACTATACGCTTGCATTTAATATACTCAAGATGAGGAGAGATGGTTCAGCAGTTAAAATACTGGCTGCTTTTCCAAAGGAGTTAGGTTTGATTCCTAGTATCTACATGGCAGCTCACAGACAGCTGTAACTCCAGTGCCAGAGGATACAACACTCTCTTCTGGCCTCTTCAGCTGTCGTATACATTTGGTACACAGACAAATTAAAGATGGGAACTCTACACTACATTTGATTCAAGCTAATAAAAGAACTCTGGGGCTGGAGAGATGGCTCAGTAGTTAAGAGCACTGGCTGCTCATCTAGAGGACCCAGGTTCAATTCCCAAACCCACATAGCAGCTCACAACTGTCAGTTCCAGGGAACCTGACAACCTCACACAGACATGCATGCAGGCAAAACACTAATGCACATAAGATAAAAATAAAAACATTCTATTTGGGTTATGAGAAAGCTTTGAAATTAGTTACAAGTAAAAGCTACCTTTTACAGATCTAACATTAAAAGAACTGCGAATAAGGGCATGGAGAGAGGGCTCCGCAGCTGAGAGTATTGGTTGCACTTTTAGATGACCCAGGTTCAGTTCCAGAGCTCCCACAAAGTGGATCACAAATGTTTGTAACTCCAGTTCCAGGGAATCCAATGACCACTTTTGGCCTCTGCAGATATCAGGTACACACACACACACACACACACACACACACAC